CACAGGAAACAAGTGCAAAAAAATGTGGGGGTGACTTGGCAATAATTTTTGGCTGCCTCTCTTCCCCTGTCATTCTTGGAGATAGCCAAGCAGAGTCTTAAGACTGAGATGAGGAAGCCAGTGTTGTGGCACAGTTGGTTAATCTGCTTTCTGGTGCTGATGTGTCCTGGCTGCTCCTTCAATCCAGCTCCCTGCTAATGGCCCGAAGAAAGCATCACAAGATGACCTAAGTGTTTGGGCCCCTGCCACCCACATGGGATGTTAGTTTTTAAATGCAGTAAGTTCTTATGCACAGCTAATTTCTACAGCCAACTCCCCTTTTCATGATCAGCTGACCACAAGCCAAAATACAGGGCATGAAGAGATATTAGGAGGTCCTTTATTGCAACAGGATAGAAACAGGAGTAGGAGTGGTGAGGAAAACATGAAAGTTAATGTCTCCTGCCATGGTGGCTGGATGGGGGCTGCCAGGGCAGGGGAAGGGGCAAGATAGAGGAGGAAGGGGAAGAGGCAGGAAAAAGGGGGAAGGGTGCACACGTGAAGGTTCATTTATACAATCAGGTGAGCCTAAAAGGTGTGTGTGGGGGTGTGCGGAACTGGTTGGGAGTGGCTGCAGGTGGCTCCCAGGGACTGGTGACTGAGATTATCACAGGTGACTGGTAGGTGGGTAGGGATCAGGGGAGGGGTAGAGAGACTGGGGATAGGGTTCTCAGGTAAGACACCATGAGGAAGCACCTGGCTCTTGCCTTCAGGTTGGTCCAGCCATGGCTACTGTAGTCTTTGGAGTGTGAGCCACTGGATGGAAAATCTCTTCTTCTGACCTTGAAGTGAATAAACAAATCTTTAAGGAAAAATGGGTTCAGTGCACAAATCCACTGTGGGCTGCCCATTTCTCTGATGCCTATCCCATTTCTACTTGCCACTTCTGACACATCCTTAGAGTGACTTTGGTCACTGTGATGCTGCTTCTGGCACAGCCGGCATCCAGCCTGGATCTGTCTCCGGGACCACAGCAAAGGGTATGTCTGCTGAGCCATCTTTAATTCTAACGAACAGTGGAGGAATGGCTCATAATGCTTCACATCCATTTTCCTCATTTCTGAGCACAAAACACACTTACTAATCATAAAGTAAGTGATCTGTTCCACTGTGTGACGAAAGTACCAGGTACAGTAGCTAATTTTTTACTGCTTGCTGATCCTCATACCTGTGTGTGTTTCAATGAGAAGGCAAAACTCAAGTCCTATAAATCTCAGACTGCTATTCCATTGTAGAAAAAGCAAACCAAAAAACCACATGATAATTCAATTGCTCTTGACTTCTAGAAGCAGGTCTTTATTTTTGTCTCTTTCTCTTGGGTTGAGTGGTTACTCACAAGGTTGAGTGGCTCTGATTTGCAAGTAATGGCATTGGGTATCAGGAGCCAAGATTTGGGGGTATAGCTGTGTGACTGGATATAGCTGGAGGCAAGAGCTGAGTGTGGGGAATGGGAAGGAGGACCAGAGGTAGACAGAGACAGCAGTTCTGTCAGCAGTATTTGGAAGTGGCATGACCCAAAGTGCAACTTAGAGGGGAAGCAAAAAGAGTTGGCAGGGAAGGAAGGAGGGCAAGCCAGTTGTTGTTCTGAATTTAGTAACAGGTTTAGGATAGGATTCATTTTTTAGTTTTCAGATAAGTATTTACTCATTTATTTGAAATAGTTACAGAGTGGGAGAAAAAGAGGAGGGGGGAGGGAGGAGAAGGAGGAAGAGGAGGAGGAGGAGGAGGAGGAGGAGAGAGAGAAACCTTGTACTGCTAGCTCACTCTCTTAGATGGCTGGAACAGACAGCACTTGGCCAGGCTGAAGGCAGGAGCAAGGGGCTTCATTCAGGTCTCCTACATGAGTAGCATGGCCCCAAGCACTTGGGCCATCTTCTACTGCTTTTCCCAGGCCATTAGAGTGGAGATGGTTTGGAAGTGGGGCAGCCAGGCCATGAACCGGGGCCAGGATGCTGGTCTCACAAGTACAGGCTTCTCCTGTCTTGCCACAGTGTCAGCCTCAAGACGAGGTTGAAGGATTTCCAAGGACCTCTTCTAATGCTTTTCTTACAACACAGGAATCAACTACCAGTTAGCTGTAGGCAGCTACTTTGGGATCTTTGCTGATTTGCCATTTCATTCAAGTTTTGTGAATTTCCTCATTGAGCTCAGTATGACACCACTGAGTGTGTTGAGTACGTGAGAATGTGCCATTATTCACAGTGCAGGTGGAGGAAAGTCAGGCCCAGCATGTGTGGCTACAGGCAGGTGCTCTGAGCAGAGGGAGATGGCCTGTCAAAGAGGCCCCAGAAACAGTGACAGATCGACAAAGGAAAATGCCATTGGGGTTTCAGGCCCATCAGCAAGGTACTTTGAGCTTGGATTACTGATAATACAAATTCTTGTGTCCCACACAGAAAGAATCTGGTTATACCTGAAGATCCCAGGCCACTGAGCAACCAGGATATTTCAATAGTTGTTGGAAAAAACAAGGATAGCAGTCTCTGCCTGGGCTAAAGGGCATGGAAATCAACATTTAACCATCTCTCATGTTACTAGAATGTAACATAAAAGGCCCAGCCGATTTTTGTGGGTCATCTGCACCAAAATAAGAGTACAATGCTAGAAATAAGCAGTTATCAGTGATTATGACATACACATAGACTCTAGTTTCCTTTGTATTTGATTGTCTTGGTACTGTTAATTTTTAAAAATTATTTATTCATGAAGATAGAAAATGAGCTCTCAAATAATTGCCATGGCTGGGGTTGGACTTGATCTGAAGTCAGAAGCCGGGAACAAAATCCAGGTTTCCCATGTAGGTGGCAGGAACATAATCAATTGAGCCATCACTGTTGCCTCCCAAAGTCTGCATTGGCTGCAGTCAAGAGCTATAGCTAGGAGTCAGATCCAGGAGTTAAATCTAGGTACTTTTGGTATGGTTTGTAGAGAGGGCACCTTAGTTGGGAATCCTAACTGCTAGTCCAAATGATCATCCTTAAAAACGTTCTTTAATAAGTGATTTGAGGAATTTAGACTTCGTGGGGTTTTTACACATAAGAACCAGGGCTCAGGGAGATAAGGCGATCGACCAGACCAGGATCTCAGTGCTAACTGGGGGCAGGCATGGCAATGGGACCACGGAGCCAACAGTCACCAAAGGCAGACTTAACAGAGGTCAAGCATCCTCTTCATATGTAAATATATTCTGATATGAACTGTTTTATTATTTTTTTTGAAAATCAGTAAACTCACAAATGGTTTTCAAATAGAAAACATATAAACAAAAGGCATGCCCCACTTCTATGTCCACAGCCTTTTTGGGTAATTGGAAGTTTCCAAGTATTTCCAAAGGATTCTAGAGTTGAGTATCTTATGTTTGACCCATTCATACTATGAGACAAGCATTGTGCTGAGAACTTTGATACTTCTCATCTCCTCTAATCCTCTGGGCAGCTTGACTGGTGAAGTTTGCCTCCATTGGCACGGATGAGGAGGCCCTGCAGCTAGAGATGCTATTCCTCTGCTTTTCCATGTTCTCAGAACAAAGTCCTTCCTTCCCCTCTACTGTCTTTCAGTTCCTGGTATTTCTTTTGCCATCTGCTTACTAGTGGGCTGGGACCTGTCACAGTGGAATTGATAATGAGAACACAGGAAGCATGTTAATGCGAAGCTTCCTCACCCTCTGCTTTTCAGGGGTAGCAGCAGGTGTTGTTTAAGAAGGGGACTGAAACATGGTGACCCCAATCCCCGCCCCACTTTTCCCCCACATCTTGTTTGCCTCTCTGTTTTTCATGTTGAACCAGAAGCCTTTCAGTGGAGCACGTGCCTGCCCAATCACCTTCTACAGTCTCATGTACAAGGGTACTTCAATGTGTTTACAACAAATGAAATCAAAAGTTAAGATTATTTTGGTAAAAAACATCTTGAAATCCGTGCAGTTTTATTTTTCATAACATACATTTTTCCTGAACTATTTTGTGACCTCTTGCACAACCTGCTTCATGCATTTCAGTTACTTATGAGGTCTCTGAAAGCATCTCTGGGCTTGCAACCCCTGGGACTGAGGGCTAGTTGTAAGCACCGGCGCCTTGTATCTAGATGATGGTTTCTCTTAGGATTGCTGCCAAGAGCTGCTCAATGAGAATGCTCACAACCCTGGGACTCTGTTCTCAAAGCCTAAGCAGTTGTATAGTACACAACTGCATAGCTGTTGGAAGAGGCCCTAGGGTCACACAGGTGATGGTTCTGCCCAGAACATGGCACCCCAGGTGGCTCAGCATCACTTTGTGTGCCATGAGAAAGAAGGGAAGGCTGGAGACAGGGAAGAGGAATTGTAGTCACAGTTCAAAGGGTGACTGGTTTAAAGGCTTGCCCTTGTGAAGTCCCTCTATTCAGTTGAAGGTCATGTGTACATAAAGCAGGCCCAGCTTCTGGCATTCCCAAAACATAGAAGTGACAGGTTTCACAGAAGGAATCAAGAAACCCAAATGGGGGATTTTCAACAATGGCAAGAAAAGCAAGCTTACATTTCTTAGAATTTGCCTATATTAACAGTGAAAACGACTCACAACTTTTTTTCCCCAAGCAAGAAAGTTTGCTGTGAATGCTCTCATTCTTTCACTCTCAAGGGAAATCTAGCCATCCCTAAACCATCTGCAAGAGAGAACTCAGAGTGGTTATTTCAGGTCCCATATCTAGGAGTGAACCACTCAAAACCTGAATGTAAGACAATGAGAAATGATGAGTGCCTGGGCCCCAGGTGGGGCTTGGTCTCCTTAAAGAAACAGGCTCTTTTTCATGTTTTTGCCTCTAAGACTTCAAGTGCATCCCAGTGGCCAGGTCACAAAGCTAGCGAGTAGGCACCTGGACATGAGCCTCTGAGCAGGGCCGTGTACCAGGCATGCCTTCTGGCTGTCAGTCACTCCGAGTGTCAGTTAACCCCCTTTGAATGACCACACCAATAAAACCAAACACAGTACCTCCTCGGGCAAGCTGACGACCAAGTCATTTTTCGTCTGTCCAACCAGTGCCTGCCAGAAGTATTCACTGCACGCGGCCAGCACGGCCCGGTGGGCACGGAACTCCTTCCTTTCCACGATCAAAGTCACGTCACAGAGAATATCCTTTTTGCGCTGGTCATTGAGGCCGAGGAGGATGTTGGTGCAGTGGACTGTGGACTCGTACACATACATGGGGGAGTCAGGCTTCTCATCCACAGACATGCCGTTCACACCCTGAAAGAAAGCAAGGTTAAGTCAACACTGTGACCAAGTCAGATGGAGCATGTAAGAGAACACCAGGGTCCCAGGGGCCATGAGCCTGCAGAAAGGAGGGCAACTGCCAATCGGCACATCCAGGCCTGGTGAGCACATACCTGGAAAACCAAGCCAGACACAGCTGGCAGGTCAAGTTCTAGGACTAAGTTGCACCCTCTCCATTTACTCTAGTCTTCTCTCCAGTAGCAGGTAGCAAAGCCAGATTTTTCTTTTTAAATGGAATATATAAAACATATACAATGGTCCGTACTTTCAGTAGTTCTGATTTTCTTAGAAGGCTGCAAAGGAACTCTCACATATAGAGGGCCAATTCAAGTGCTAATTGAGATTTGTGCTGAGGAAATGAATCATTTTGAAGCATTTGAGAGACTGTCTTGACAGAGTACACGTCAGTTCTTAAGTAGAAACTTGGCTAGGAGGCCGAGTGGAGTAAAAATCTCACAATACATAATTTAACAAGCGAACTGTATGAACATTAGAGTCTGATACAGACAGCTACTGTAACTGCCTGCTGCTACTTCAAGACAAAGCAAGGCTAACATATTGTTGCTTGGCTTTTAAAAATATTCAGAATTGTGCATTATCATAGGAATCATGATGTGTATGCATCTTCTTTAATAGGATATAAAACATCTCAATAGGAGCCATAAAGAAAGATATATATTCGGGGCTGGTGGAGTGGTGTAGCATTCTAATCTTCTCTCTGTAGTGTTGGTGTCCCATATGGATGTCAGTTCATGTCCTGCTCCCTCTCTGTTCCCTCTTTGATCCTGCTCCCTGCTTCTGACCTGTAAAGCTGCAGCGGTTGGTTCAAAGTCCTTAGGTTCTTGCACCTACATGGGAGACCCAGAGGAAGCTCCTGGCTCTGGATTGGCTCAGCTCTGGCTGTTGTAGTCATTTGGGGAGTGAACCACTGGATGGAAGTCCCTGCCTTCCCCACCCCCCATCTCTCCTCACTGTAAATCTACCTTTAAAATACAATTTAAAAATCTTAGAGATTTTTTATGTACGTATCCAGAGTGAAGAATTCGTTTTACAAAAGGGTTCTTTTTTAAAAAAAACTTATTTAAAAGGAGGCAGAGTTACCAAGAGGCAGAGAAGAGAGGGAGGGAAAATGGGGGGAAGGAGAGAAAGGGGCAATGGGGAAGAGACAGAGTGGGGGAATAGTGGGGTGAGAGGGGTGAGGAGAAGGGATGGAAGGAAGGAGGAAAGGAGAAGGATGAGAGTCTTCTGTCCAGTGACTCACTCCCCAAGTGATGCAACAGGTGGGATTAGACCAGACCAAAGTCAATAGCCTGGAACTCCACCCAGGTCTCTCATGTCAGTGGCAGAGGCCCAAGCACTTGAGCCATGTTCTGCTGCCTTCCCTGGTACATTAGCAAGATTTGAAGAGGAGATGCCTGTCTCCAATTGCTGCTTATATGGGATGTTAGCCAGGCAGGCTGTGGCTTAACCTACTACAGCACAATCTGGTCCCTACAGAAGGGTTCTTAGCTCTATAAAGTATCCGTTGAGGTATTTTTAAATTAGGTGTATATGTTTAATTTAAATAACATGCTTTACCAATAATGATTACTATATTTAAAATTTCTTTATTGGAAAGGCAGATATGCACACACAAAGAGAGACAGAGAGAAATATCTTCTGTCTGCTTGTTCACTCCCCAGGTAGCCACAATGACTGGAGCTTGGCCAATCTGATGCCAGGAACCAGGAGCTTCTTACAGTTCTCCCATGCAGGCACAGGGTCCCACGGCTTTGGGCCATCCTCCACTGTCCTCTCAGGCCACAGGCAGGGAGCTGGATGGGCAGTAGAGCAGCCGGGACATCCCAGATGGGATGCCGGAGCTGTAGGGCAGAGGATTAGTGTTGAGTACTGCACAGGTCCCAATAATAGTTACTATTAATATAAATTCCAGTACTGAGTCCTTTTGTCCTCTAGACTTATATTTTTAACTACTTTTTAAACCAGCTCCATCACACATTAAAGTAGACATATTTATACTGTACACTTGATGCTTTGGCAACTGTGAAATTATCACACTAAGGCAGTCACCACATCCATCTTTCCCCTAAGTTTCACTACATCTTTTAACAGTTCCTCCTACTTCTCTCCACCTTGCCACTATAAGAGATCAGCTTTCTGAAATGTGGTAGTTGGTATTTGATAGTTTTATAGACAAATGGAATCATTTAATATATACTCTTTGAGATCTCCCTTTTACTTAGCATAACTTGTACGTATTAAAAGTTTGTTTCTTTGTTGCTGAGTCACATTGTATGGATATGATTTCTAATATTAATCTACTGATGAATATTGCGTTGTTGCTGGTTTCTGGTTACTACAAATAAAGCTGCTACAAACATAGATGTCTATGCCTTTGAATGAACATACGCTCTTATTTGTTTTAAGCACAATGGCTGGGTCATACGGTAAATGTATGCTTAACTTCTAAAGAAACCACCACTGCCTTCTCAAATGATTGCATCACTTCTACATTTTCATTGGTAGCATATAAAAATTCCAGTTTCCTTGTTTCTTTGCCAATATTTGGTATGGTCAATCTTTCTAATTTTTGCCATACTAGTAGGTACACTATGGTATGTCTGTGTGATTTTAAGTTATTCTAATGACTCAAGATATTGAGTATTTTTTAATCACTTTCTCTCTCTCAAGTTTTATCTTTCTTTGAAAAGCAGAATTACAGAGACACAGGGAGAGAAACAGAGAGAGAAAAACCTTCCATCTGCTGCTTCACTCCCCAGATGGCTACAATGACCAGAGTTGAGCTAGTCTGAAGTTGGGAGTCTGGGGCTTCTTCTGGGTCTCTCATGTGGGTCATCTACCGCTGCTTTTCTAGGCATATTAGCAGGGTGCTAGAATGAAAGTGAAACAGCCAGCCTTTTGATATGGGTGCTGGTGATGCTGGCATCAGCATTACCTGCTACACCACAAATACTGAGCATTTTAATGTGTTTATTTGCCATCTGGTTATTTTCTTTAGACTTTATGTATACTATATAAGAGAAAGAGAGAAGGAGGGAGGGAGGAAGGGAGTGAGGAAGACATACACACAGAGAGAGAAAGAGAGAGAAAGAGAGAGAGAGAGAGAGAGAGAGAGAGAGAGAGAGAGAGAGGCAAATAATGTGCAAACAATACCCAATCTTCTGGTTCGCTCCCCAAGTACACCTAGGAGCCAAAGTTGAAACCAGGAGCTGAGAATGAAATCCAGGTCTCTCAAGACAGTATGGAAACCCAACTGTTTAAGCTATAACTGTTGCCTCCCAGGCATCAGCAGGAGCTGTGATGGAGAACTCAAGCTAGGCACTTGGATGTGAGACACTTGCATTCTAACTGACATCTTAACCACTGAACCAGATGCTTGTCTCTGGCCCATTTTTCATTGGATTGTGTTCTGAATAAATTGTGACAGTGCTTCATCTGTTCTGAACAAGAATGCTGTATCAGATATTGATTAAAATCTCCCCAATATTCTTCAGCTTTTTATTAAAATTCATTTTTATTAGATAGGGAGACCAGATTTACAGAAAGGAGAGACAGAGAGAAAAATCTTCCACCCACTAATTCATTTCCCAAATGGCAGCAATGCCTGGAGCAGGTCCTGACAGAGAAGCCAGGAACCAGGAGCTTCCTTCATGACTCCCACGCAGGTACAGGTTTCCAAGTCTTTAGGCCATCCTCTACTGCTTTGCCAGGCCATATGCAGGGAGCTGGATGGGAAGTGGAGCAGCTGGGACATGAACTGGCATCCACATGGGATCCCAGTGCTTGCAAGCTGAGGATTTAGCTATTGAGCCATCACACTGGGCCCAGCATACCTTTTCATTCTCACTCATCTTTTCATTCTTTTTCCAAGAGAAAAAAGTTTTCATTTGACAAAGTCCACATTATCAATTTTTCTTTTATGGATTGTGCTCTTATTGTCACATTTAAAGAAAGCTGCCTAAACCAAGTACACAAAATTATTTTTTATTAGATTTTAATTTTTCAGGTATACAATCATTTTTAGTTTGTTCTTTTTGTATATATAACAAGGTCTGGACTGAGGCTTTTTTTGGGCTATCCAATTGTTTCCACACAAATTACCAAATTCTTTTTGCACCTTTATTGAAAATCACTCTTTTATACATCTGTGACTCTACTTATGGTCTCTGTATTTCACACATATCTACTTGTCTACCTTTATGCCATTTTATCACAATCTCTTGATTGGCTCTTTTTCAATCACTCCTTTCCTTTGAATTTCCATATAGTTTTTTTATTTGAAAAGAGAGAGACAGCATCATAACCTCCCATCCACTAGTTTAGTCCTCAAGTGCCTGTGATAGCCAGTGCTGGCCCAAGAGGAAGCCAAGACCTGGAACTCCAGCCGGGTCTCCAATGTGGGTAGCAGAGGCCCAAGTACTTCAGCCATCACCTGCTGCCTTCACAGGTTGCAAATCAGCAAGAAGCTGGATTGGAAATGGAGTAACCAAGTACTTTGAAATGGTATAAACATTGCCTAAGCAGCAGTTTGACTGCTACACCACAACACCCAACCCATCCAAAGATATTTTAGAATTAGTTTGCCAATTTCCACAAAACAGACTGCTGGGATTTTCACTAGGATTGCACTGATATTACGGATCAACTGGGAAAGAATTGCTATAGAAACAATGCTGAATATTTTGAGCCATGAATGTAGTATCTTTCTTTACTTATTTATGATAATCTTTCCAGTTATGTTCTATGGCAGTATATAGATTTTGCATATCTTTTTCAGTTTGGACTCAAGTGTCACTTGTAAGCAATATCATGTTTTAATTCTGATTTCTGACTTTTCATTGCTTATATATGTATTTATGTTTCCAAAAACCTTGATTAGCTTACTTATCAATCCTGATAGCCTTATTTTCTGGAAGGGTCTACAGAATTTCTTACCTAAAAGATCATGTCAT